AAGAGAGTGTCTTTCCCTGTCAGTTCCCTGCCCTGTCGCTCAGGCGTACTCACATGCGAGGATGTTGATGTATCTGTTCTTGTGCTTGTTGTCGGGGTGGTTGGAGTGCTCCGCCGTGATGTTCATGTCGGCCGTACAGCGCTGCACTTCCTAGGCACCAAAATGGTTCAAAGACAAAATCTGTCAGTCTAGAAATGAAGTTCATTTTTTTCTTTTTGCAACAATGTGGCATAAGAAATTAAGCACAAAAAACAATTCTGCACTTCATGTCGGCCGTACAGCGCTGCACTTCCTAGGCACCAAAATGGTTCAAAGACAAAATCTGTCAGTCTAGAAATGAAGTTCATTTTTTTTTGCAACAATGTAGCATAAGAAATTAAGCACAAAAAACAACTCTGCAGAAGACTTTGGAGTGCTAAACAACTTATTTGCTGATAACCCCTCCAAACAGGGCTTCTGACATTTAAGTTCTGTACTGACCTTTTGTTAGTTCTCTGCAGAGGGATGACTTTTATAAAATATAAACAAAATAGATCTGTGAAGATAACAGATAGGGCTTTAAATACCACTGCAGGTACACCTATTAACAGCAAATGATTTAGTGAAAGAGGTAAAAGGCTGGTCCAGATCTATCTGTTGGACCCTGTACATTCAGACATTTACCCACCCGAATGAGGCCAGCTGTTCAGGCAGCTAGAGATGCAGATGTTTGTCTTGTTGAGGAATTAAGTGAGATTTCTGTTGATTTTTTAGTTCTTAACCTACTTGTATCAGCAAACAACTGAATACAGGGCTATGTGTGGCGAGAGTGTCTCTTCTTTGCCCCCGAGAGCAGCAGCTATTCCCCTTGGCCTAGTTATATATTTTGGAGACTGCATTGCAAGTAAACCACTAAATCTCATGTACTATAGCACTTCCAAGAAATAGTTTCTATTATGTATTTAAATGCAATCTTTCTGAAACAAAAAGTAAAAAGCTTTTTATCATTAGCATAAACTTAGTTTTAAAACAACCTTTTGAAAAACATACTGGTGTTTTGCAGTTTACAAAGTTGTGGAAGAAGCTACATTTATTCAAACCTTTTGTGGGTCCCAGAAATCACACCAAATAGAACTAATTTCCCCCAAGGTTATGCAGGGAGGTGCCAAATTACTTTGTACTGCGAGCTTTAAAAGTAACAGTACAGAACCTGCCTAAGAGGGAAAGTCATTAGAAGCTCACAGCTGCTACAAAGATCACGAGCTAAGTGACAGAGAAAAATTATCAAGAGAAATGCTATACAAACAGCAGATGTAACAGAGTTCAGCATTATGCAGACATTTCACAAAGGAGTTGCAAAGCAATTTTGATATCTTCCCTGGCATTTACATTTTAAAAGTGCAAAGTATAGTAAAACCTTGAACATTTTATAGCTTTTATATCCACATGGCACTCCCAAACGAACAATTGCTGCTCTCGCTCGCCTCTCCACTGGGAGACGCAGATGACTGGTGAGGGGACGAGCAGAGCAAAGACAAAGAGGAATCAGGCACAACTTTCAGCTGGCCCTAATAGAATTTTCAGAGCTCCATTTCTATCATGGAAAAATAAAATCACATTAAAGTGTGTGCTTCCCCTAATTCTGCCTGTCGGCTCCAGTAAACAAGGGACTTTTGATTATACAGTGGGCAGGCTCAGTTCAGCCTAAATTGCAGATGCAAAAGCAGCGTTAGCTACATTTTTGTATGATTTAATGCAACTTGGTTTTGCCTTTTTTTATATATTTTTTGCATTCAGAAACAATGCAACATTATTCCTGGACTGCTGCAGGTCACTTCTGAAAAATATCCTCCCTTTCTGAACAGCCCCATATCAAACATTAAACCCCTATAGCACCGTTGCATTCAGAAACAATGCAACATTATTGCTGGACTGCTGCAGGTCACTTCTGAAACATATCCTCCCTTTCTGAAGAGCCCCATATCAAACATTAAACCCCTGTAGCACCACAAAATTATTTTTGGAGCAGTTATTAGCATTGAAGCATTTATGCCAAATGCTGTAGAATTCGGTATGGATGAATCCAGTAAAGTTCTATGGAGAATACTCTCAAAAGGTATAAATTTTATAGGGAATTACATCCCTGCTAAGGAATTCTCTCACAGTTTAAATACTACATAGTAAATGTAACACTTCCTATTAAATTCTATAGGATTTTTCCACAAGGGAATTGTTGGAGGGGTTAATCATTTTAATTAACCTTTCTATGTTGATGCTGACTGCTTTTTCAACTGTGCAGTGTTCCCAGCTGGCCTGTATAAAGTTAATAGAAGAGGAAGATTAGGCCAAGGGGATGAAAAACATGTCATTGGAAAAGATCTTACACTGTGAGAGGTGATCACCTGCAAAAGGCTTTTATTAAAAACTTAACGTTTTAAATGAAATTTAATACTCTTAACGGTGGAGGCCGGTACCTGCTCACTGCACAAGCAGAGCTTCAAGGAAAGCTCCCCCACTTCCCACATTCCTCAACTCTTCCCGCCGTAGGACCGCGCTGAACGGGTGAGCTGGGGCTGGTTATCCACCCTCTCTTGCCTCCTGGCTTCCCCTCTCTCCATGCTAACCGCAAATCACTGAACCACAGCCTCGCTACCCCAGACAGCAAGGCCCAAGTCAACATTCCTTCGTTATTAAACTCCAAGTGTTGCCTTTCATCAACGCACAAAATGCCGCAAGAAGACTGGACTAGTCGCAGCCTGTTACCTCTGCCTGCTTTTAGTGCCTAATTTACCCTTTGGCAGAACATGATGGCCTGGTGTTAATGAATATCACCCTGGAGAAAGCTCCAAAAAGTCACCTTCCTAATTATGCCTTTGTACCATATTACATATTATTGCATATTTACTTTCCTAACCTTTGGTAACGCTAATGCAATTACCACCCTCGGATTTCTAAACCTTACTGCTTACCAAGTCAATCATTTGCATTTAAGACATCTGCATGATTATACTATTATTACAATTTTGCAGGCAGGCCATCAGGTCAACCCTGGTGCCCAGGCTACTCACTGCAACCTAAAGAGTCTCCTCCAATTAACACGAAACTGCTACTGGCACCTTGGAGTAAAAGGACAGCTACTCCCCTTATCACCAAATCTGCAATTCATCCAGCCAGAGCAGACAAACTTTTCCACTCTAGGGGCTTTTCTTCTGCTTTCCTTAATCCCTTTAGCCTCTTCCACTGATTTTAATGGTGGCTGGCTAGCATGCTGCTGCTTTTTATGTTTAACTTTGCAGAACGCATTACTGCCCAAAGATGAATGGATGCAGCCTCTAGTCCTGTCCTAGCAACTTATCATCGACAACCCAAGGAGCCAAAGTACACGCTTTCAATTGACCGTTAGTTACTGTAAAAAGTGTCCTAGTTCTTGCTATTATGGCTAATTTACCTTTTAATTATATTGTCCACGCTAATGCTAATTGGAATTTGATACACCCAGATTTAATGACCCGTTTTCATTGCCTTCCTGAAACAAGTTACAGATTAGTTTCTTCTAAACTTCAAAGAATTTCCATTAAAGTGGAAAATCAAACCGCTCCAGCGTCTTGCTGGCAATATGAGGTTGGGAGCAAGAAGTTTTGCTACAGTGACTGAGCAGGAACTCAGTCTCTCGATTTGGCCTTACGCAGTGCTGCAGTTGCTTCCCATTACTTCCATCGGCAGATGTCCTAGCAGGGGCTGGACTGTAAAAGCCTATGAATAGGAATGAGGAGGAATCACGAACAAAGAAAGGATCCTAATTTGAAGGACTAAATGAGAGATGTTCCAAAACTGTTTTATCTTCCTGCGGAATTTTCCAGCACGAGAGTAGTGAGTGCATCCACCCCTATGATCACTCCTGATCTGTTAGTTTAATCCCAAATTAGAGAATTCTGTGGTTGTGCTCTTGCTGTTTGCTCTGCAAACATGAAGATAGAATACCTGCAGGGAGAGCAAATAGCTTTTGAGGATCTCCCACTGGAATAGCATAGATTTTTGTAGTAATTTAGCACTAGTATAAACCCTCTGATGGAACTCGGGAGAAAGGTAACTGGGGAGAGCCTAGACAGAAGGGAAAAATAAACAAAGTAGAAGGACTGAACACAGCAATGGTAGTGGAGGAATCATTATGGGGGTTAAAAATTCACGCACTGAGCTCTGCACGCAGCCAACCTATATACCCAGGTGATGCCTACAAGCGTGAGGGAGCTGACAACGGCACAGCAACATTTTTGCGATGTATCTTGATGCTGGGCAGCGACGTACCAGGGGCTGAACGAAATTTTGCATTCCCCAGGTAGGGCCATAGGTCTTTGGAATGGGACTTCCAGGCAGAAAATTTGAGAGCTGTTGTTGAGCTATGATTAATAACAGAAAGCCCAGAGATCTGAGTCTCTTTTACTGCTTTTCCTCACTTGCTAATTCGCAATATCAATTTTTTAGGGTAGGTCGAGCAGCAAAATAAGAACACAAAACTCCAGGAAGACCCTTTTCTGCACCAAGTCCTTCATCTTCCAGCTTCACAGTGCTGCTTCCCTTTGGTTTCAGCACAGCACCACACAGGCTGAGAACATCCCTAATTATGGCGATCTGGAGCCAATGTTATAGAGCTTTTCCCAGAGCAGTGAGGTCTCCAAGCAGCATGCTTTGGAAGTGGCATTTTCCTGCTGTCCAAAATTCTTAGAGTGGATGGAATTATAGCACGTGTATGATGGAGACTGTGTCTAGTCCAAAAAGGATCCTGGTGTAACGACACAATGGTTTTAGTCTTAAGAAATGTGCGAAGCACAGGACCATTTCTGCCTTCAATTTCGCCCTTTGTAAGAGAATCCTGAGGTCACTGGTTAAAACGAGCTAGTGACCCTCACCTCAAGCAATGACAACCATGCGAAGAACAGCAGCAGATCCCTGCCACACTACTGAAGATATGGATTTATGCTATTTTCCTACATTTCAGGACATTTAGAAGCAGGTGCCACCGGAGTATAAAGATATTTTCAATTTATGAGATGAGCCTGAGCTAGACAGGCTGCCTCCAAGTTCAGGGAGCCTGGGCAGACTCCAAATGGGCAATGAATCATCAGCTCGCAGGGCCGCGGAGGCTGCGCTCACCCACCCGATCCCGCCTGCAG